AAGGACATCAGAGATTCATACACTCGCATCCACAAAGCACCCAACGTCTATCCAGGACCTTTTCTGGAGAGAGCAGTGCTAGAACTCAGAGGTTAGATGAGAAACCCAATGGTGTTTTTCTTTCCTTCGTTCCTTCCTTCCTTAATTGTAATTTTTTATTACACACATTCCAAAATAATCTAAAAGTTCAAAATGTGATTAGTTGGACTTTACATCACACTTCCACAATTCCCTAGTAGATCACTCTTAAACACTGTAGTCTTCATGTATTATGGAAAATATATTTGATTTCGGTGAGATTTCCAACCCAACTTCCTTTCACAGGCTCGGCTAGTAGTGTTAACATTGTCTTATTTATATTGTTACGATTGTTTACACTCGGTTGTCATACAAATTCTCTTCTTAGTACCAAGCAGTATGTAACTGATATCATGCTAAAAGTAAGTAAAAAGCTTGTGACTGACACTTATTAGTTAGTGTCACTGCAGATTTAACTGTTTTAACTCAATGTCATGGGGAGAATGCTGTGCTCATTTTAGATTTTTTTGTGAAATGTTTCTTCACATAGATGGCTCTGCTTATGCTTAGCCATAAAGGAGCCAGTTAGTAGACCTTGTGACCTTATTTGATCTCACCTTTCCTTGAATTTGCAGGAAAAACATTTATTTTACTAATGCTATCAATTTTGATGGTATTATTCTAATTATAGACATTATTATTACTATAATGTTATTGACATTAGTAGTGGCAATATAAGATAAAATCAAATATTTTTGAAAATCAAGGAAAAGGGTAAATAGGTGAGACAAGTAGTACTCATAATTGGTTCATTGGTGACTTAGTACAAGTTGAGCCTTCTCTGTGTAGAAACACATAGGGATGGCATGTGCATACATGTCATGCCCCCCTGTGAGTCAACTTGTTTGATTGTTTCTACACATAGATGGCTACACTTGTACGAAGTCACCAGTGACCCAATTACGAGTACAGTACTGCCTGTCTCGCCCGTTCACTCTTTTCATCAGTTTACAAAAATACTTAACGTTATCCAAATTTGCTGTTAAAAATAACACCATCTATATTTATAGAACTAGTAAGAATACGTTTTTTCCCGCCAATTCAAGTAAAGGTGAAATCAGGACTAGCAGAGCCATCTATGTACAGAGATATTTCATGAAAATATACAAGAAATGAGTACAGCATTTTCCCCATTTTTTATTCATTTCCCCGGTGGCAATGGGTCAATAAAGTAGACTTAAAGTGAGTATGTAGGTACATGCCATGCCCGCCGGTTCTGGTTAACTCTCTCCTCAACTTTAAATATATGATTGGGTAGATATTTGTGTAGCATTTGCCATCTTCTCAGAATTGGACTGCAAATTCCTTGTCTGTGTGTAGTTTGTAATACCACAAGCCAGCTGTTTTTAAATTTGAAGGTGTTACACATATTGGAAGAAAAAAAATTTATATAAAAATATTTCAGACCTTATTTTACCAGTAATCCCACATTCAGAAATTGTTTCCTTTATATCTGCCACCAAACTTATGCAGCATGTCCTAGAGACTGAATCTTTAAAATGAAATAAATAAACAAAAGTAAAACAGTCCCCTTCAAATTACACGCTCAGGTTTAGTCTGATTCGTGGATTTTATTTATCAGGGAATCCCTTTCCACCGCTGGAGCAACAGAAGTCCACACGAAACTGGCTTCACAACATCCTGCTGGAGGAAGCTCGGCGAGAACGGACACAACAGAAACGCTCAGGTGGCAGCCAGGAGTAAAATGTAAAATTATGTAAATAAATATAGAAAGTGTACATTGTTTTGAAAATAATAAATACTGATGTTTTCAGTGAACTTTGTTTTTTTCCTTTTTCTTTTTACTGTCTGTGTAGAATAAAGATATTGTTCAACAGTTATTTTCAACCATATAATTCCTACAATACATAAGATAAAATTCTTTATCATGCCAAGTAGTTCAGAGGAAATTTTACATTATATATATGTGTATATATATATATATATATATAGAGAGAGAGAGAGAGAGAGAGAGAGAGAGAGAGAGAGAGAGAGAGAGAGAGAGAGAGATAGATAGATAGATAGATAGAGGTAGAGATAGATAGATACATACATACATACATACATACATACGTGTGTGTGTGTATGTGTTTGTTTGTTTGTGCGTGCATGCATGCACTTGCACTAGAGTTAATGGCATTTCTGGTTTGTTTTTAGTATAAATTGTCAAAATATTTCTCTTATACTTACAATCACTGTTATTCAAGACACAGATTCAGAATTATTGTTATTTTTTATAGTGTTCCTCAGACCTGAATTTGAACATATTACATAATCAGGACAATGACAAATTCAAATGTACAGATAGTCCCCTACTTAAGAACATTCTACTTACGCACATTCCGTACATACAAACTTTTTTTTTAAATACTTAAGTCAAAAAAATTGTTTGAAAGATCCTAGCAAACTTCAAATTTCCCAGGCGCCGTGGCGCTGCCGCGCTCACTCAGCTGTGCGCATCACTCACCTGCCCTCCCGCCATAAACACGAAAGCATCTCTTCACTGTGTCCTCGTGTACCGACAATTTTTGTGCCATAATTCCCTTTACCTGTGCATCAATCCATCAAAAATGTCAGGTGTGAAGAGAAAGATAAAAGGTGAAGCCAATGAAATTGCCAAGAAACGTCAGGCTATAACTTTATCGATCTTATCAATCGATTCGCCAGCCAGTCACCACTACAATATATTTTCTTTTTGAATAAATTATGTTTCTACATTAAAGTTGTATGAATAATATTAAAATACTATTTTATGTTTACCATAAAACATTTTGTTTAATTATCATGCACTATGCTTTGCCAATCTTTTGCTGATTTCTGATGTTTCTTTACTTATGTCTTATACTTGCAACATTCTATGGAACAAAGTGTCCCATTACTTTTCTGAATATGTTGATTTTTAAGTATGAAAAAACCTAATAGATAAGGAAACACAGTGGGTTAACAGCAAACATTGAATATTCTCATGTTTGAATTAAAATTTAAAAAAAAAAAATTCTCTTATAGTATTCCAGCAGGAATTAGAGAAGGTAACATAACCCATTGACTCATTATTTCTCTAGCACAAGTTGAGCCATCAGACTACGGATGATTAGTCTCTACATTTCATTCTCCTTTTCAATTCTAATGAATTAATGTTAGTATTCTGTTCACTCCACATAAGAAGACTCTTTAGGAATGCAACTCCAATGGCTTAAATATTTCCCTTTCGTATGTACTTCAAGATGGTCACACTGGCAAAACACCATATAACAATCCGAGTAGTTGACACAAGGACACTGATCGTATAAACTAAGAATTAAAGTGGTTATAGGTTCACAGCAGCTGCAAGAGAGCACAATTCTATGGTGCTTGGCGTCTTTCAGGGACAGCAGGCAAATGTGACATTATAGTACCTTATGAAAGACAACAGAAAACGTAATGCATGCATCACAGTAACATGACATGAATGACCCGTCCTCCGTAGACACAAACAAGTCAATCATGAAGGGAAGTACATGTCATCCAGAGCCACGACCAAGACAGCCATGACAGGAAATTCATGTCATCTGGATTGAATGGGCTAAATACCTTCTGTGAATACATTTATATATTTTCTAAATGAGCACCTGCAGTATCTTGAACTTGATTTGTCTGTACTGTAGTTTAGTTTCAGAAATGAAATTACCTTCCATATCAGAATCATTCTAACTAGTTGTGGAATCAGTATGCTAAAACTGTTCATCACCTGACTCCTCTGATCGTCACATAGTTATGCATTTCAAAATACATACTATAGCATTATAAATACTATATTATATGGTATTAAGTATTTCCAAACTGTAACTATTAATAACTAATTAGGTGAATAACAATTTAATACTAGTGGGACAAAATATCCCTCTGCATTATAAAAGTGGGACACTCATTAAAATAGCAGGATATGATTAGGATAATATATCCTAATCAAATACTTGCTAGATGTTGACATGATAGAAATGTACTTTCTTAAATAATCAGCTTTGCTAATGAATTAATGTTAGCATCCAATATCAAGTTTTGTTAGAAAAGCTGTGCAACAAATGGTTTACAGAAACATTTATATATATGTTGGATTGCAATAAACCATAAAAGAAAATAGAAATATATACACAGTATAATGGTACTTTTTTATTCATCTGATTTTTATTTAAAGGCTTCTTAGTAATGAAGTAAATATTTAAAAAAAAATATATAATGGTATCCACATCATAGACTATATTCATAATTTTAATACTGTTCTAAACAGTTGCTTTTATTATCGAAAAACTTCTGCTACATCACCATCTAAGTTCACTAGCGGCATATTCAAATTATAGCAATAGAATGAGGCTTTGAGCTTAGGTAAGGAAGTGGTATGTGACATCAAAGGTCATATGGAACTATGGTAAAGTATAGTAGTAAAAAGGGTTAGGAATGAGTTAATGATGAGGGTAAAGTTACACATTGAACAGTAGTCAAGGATAGTTTGGTAGTATGTTAGTGAAAAGGGTAGAGAGGGCAAGCTCATGGGTATAGTATAAGGTAAAGGTTGTTAGAAGGGGAAGGAAGGAAGTAGGCAGCATTATGAAGTATTGTGGCAAAAATGGCAAAAATGAGTTAACAACTAGGATAAGGGGACAGAACAAGGGATGAAAAAAAGGAAAAGGGAAAGATAAAATAAGGATAAGAAAAGAATGTGCAATATTAGTTGAGGCGAGGGTTGAGGACCAAGGTAGGGGTCCCCTTCTCCTAAGCCCCTCTCAACAACAAGCAAGGGATTGGGGGTTGCTGGAATGTACATATTTTATTTCAAACAGTGTATTTAATAACTGTTTCTTCTAGGTCTTTTTTTTTCTTTGTTTTTGAATCAGATCAGCTCTTTATTTTCTTACTGATGTAAACTGTGTAAATGAAAGACTAAATGACACAAAAAATGTATTGTATTATGTAAAAAAGGAAGTCTTACTGTGCAAGACTACACAGCAGCCTATTACATTATAAACCACACATTGATTATACCACAGTGATCCAGGTACAGTATACATACCTAAAAAAATATTCACCTATCATTTTCTTACTGACCTAGCATCTTTGTGAATACAATAATATTAATGTTCAGCCAGCAACAATATGCATATTTAGTAGATGTTTTACATTTAAAGAAGCATGCAAAATTTGAGTAAACTTGATATCTATCTAGTAATTACCAAACTGCAGTGGATAGATCTTAATAACAGTCAATTTGAAATTTCCACTTATATATTTGTGGAGATATAACCCAACTGTGTCCAATTTTCTTTAAAATCCAGCAGTCATAGCAAGTGCTGAGGCAACAGCAGACGTCACAGACTGCTTTGGTGAGCAAGCCTGACGTACACTCATTTCCCAACTATGGAGCATCATGGTGAGGCTACAGTGTGGGGGCATGTTGCGCAGCCGAACCATCATGCTCTCCCTTGCACTCTTTAGGAAGTCAGTTGTTTCATAATCTACAGCTAGTAAATCACATCGTGGAGGCTTCAGGGGATAGCCTGCAGGGACAGTTAAGGTAATTGGTGGTACACATGGTAAATTTGGGTCATCCAACTGGCAGATCAGTGTCAGGTCATCACTCCCAGGTGGCTGTTGACAATCTAAGTTGACCCTGAAGCGTGCATTGAGACGAGCCACTTCACCCTGAATAACATCACTAATATTCGGGGTTTCTGGTGGAGGCTGCAGAGGGTTATCTCGCTTCACTGGCTTAATTGGATTAGTAGTGAGATTTGGCCCTAAAAGAACAGACAGAGCTGGTGATATCGTACGATGAAGAGTGTGAGCAGCACAGGGAGATTTCAGTGCATTTGTTACAGATTCTGTCATTCCTGCAATGCGATTTTCCATGCTTGGGGGTACCTCTGCATCACGATGAATTTCTAGTTTTTCTAACACTTGTTCACATTTCAGTAGAGTTTCCATGGGCATTCGCCTTTGGGGATTTTGCAACATGTCATGCAACTGCTTCATCTTGCATGATTTTTCCGCATCTTCATTCCCAATTCTTTGAATCATACGGCGTAGGGGATCTACATACTTACTGAGTTGCCGCACTTTTTCTCTATAGGCTGCTTCTTCAGCCTGACTGTTAGTCATACCCTGAGCTGCAGGTGATGGTTGCTGAATCTGACCAGGAGTGTTGATTATTCCACCAGGTGAGGGTGCCCCAATGTGACTGGCACCTCGGCCCATCCCTGCACTGTTGGGTCCAGCAGGTGAGGGAACCATGTTGGATGATGGTGAAGGAGACACAAGATTGCTTGGTGCCGAAAGAGAGGGTGCAGGGGAGGCACTACTTGGTGTGGGTCCTCCACCACGGCCAACCATCTGACCAGTGAACTGTCCTATCTGTGGTGTCTGCATGTTCTGGCCAATAGTCATCTGGATAGTGTTAATCTTGCCAGGTTGTCCACTCATTTGATTAATAGTTATACCTTGCTGTTTTTTGTTTGCCATCTGAATATCCGATAATCGCTGGTGGTTATTTCCTGGCCAATTAGGAATATCATTGGCCTGATTAGGAAGGTTTGGCATCATGGGCTGACCCATTCTTGGCCCTCCCTGCAAATTCTGAATATTTTGTCCAGTTATGATTGTAGCATTTGGACCACCTGTTACTGGTCCACCCGGTCCTGTCATTGGTGTCCCAACCATCTGACCAGCTGGAACCTGTTGGCCTGCTAATACAGCAGCTAATTGTGGGTTACTTGTCTGTGGATTAGTATTACTTTGGGCTACTTCCCGCATGTGGGACACCAAACGACCAATAAGCTGCAAATAATCATCTCGCTTTAATGATCTCTGAAAGACCTGCAATGGATAAAAGAGACAACATTAATAGGCTTATGTTCACTACAAAAAATTATAACAAAGTTATTAAAAAAAGGGGCTTAACCCAATATTGACAGTGTGCATCCCTTTTGCATAAAAAGCAAAACTTAAACGCTTATAATGCCAGTTCCAAAACAATGGTTCACTTGTTTGGCTCTGGGAGTTGAAGCTCCTCAAGCTTTAATTTCGTCTCAAATAATGGAAAATCATATTTGCCGCAGCCAATATGTTCCTTGTGCTTCTACTTCTTCCCTCAAGTGAAGCAGAATGAAATCCTGCCAACACAGGGTTAAAACTTCTTTTAACTTTATAAAGAGGAGGAGAAAAAATATATATGTTTATGCATAAAGAAGAATGAATCTGGCTTGAGTCTGCTAATGTGTGTATGTATCTTTAAGTTTCTCTTACATGAAGTTCTAGATCATGAGCAGACTTCTGGTTGCCTGCTGGTGTCTGCCGTATCAATTCCTCCAGCTGGGTAATGATCCTCTGACGGAAAGCGTTTGACTTCCAATCATCTGCCATACTTCACCCTGTGAAATCATGTTGAAATAATGAATTTGGAGTAATCTAAAACAAAGCGGGGCCACTTCTAGGCAAAGAATTATGATATAAACACTGGCTTAGTAATGCATCTGTATCAAATAGCCAATTACACTGGCCTTTGTCTTCCCTTATATATCAGAGATAAACAACAGTTCACATTATCAGCATTCATTCAAAAATGCTACTACTAGTTTAACCCATGCCCAAGCTAGCCTATGTCTTCTATGACAATGTCAGTCTTCTTTCTATCCAGTAATTGCAGCCTCAGCAGGTTGTAATTACTTTAATGGTATGAATAGCTTCCTGTTATTTAGCCCAACCTAACCAAAATTCAGAAGGAAGGAAGGACGGAAAGCTAGGACAGCTTCCTGCTATTTAGCTTAATCTAGCTGAAGTTCAGAATGACGGAAGGAATGCTATTGGTCAGGAGGCTTTTTGTAATTTAGGCTAACCTTGCTGAAGTTCAGAAGGAAGGAATGCTATTAATCAGGACAGCTTCCTCTTATTTAGCCTGAAATGAAGTTCAGAAAGAAGGAACGAAGGAAGCCTATCTTTTTTGCTGTACATTTTAGAAAGAAAGTACACAGAAAAATATAGTGATAAACTAAGGCTAAAATTATTAAAGATGCAACCAAGCAATTCAATAATACAAATGATTTGATATGTATATCTTACATCGGTATATTTTTCAGAGTAAAAGCAGAAATGGCACAGCTATATGTAAAATGCAGTACAACACTAAGAGAAAATTTAGAAGACATCCAACCCTCACAGTTTCTATGTTTATCGGCACCATGGCTAAGATCTACAAACTTCAACTACACAGATCTTGTTGACTTCTTAGCTATTAACCCAATGCCGATGGGCATGACGTGTACATACATGCTATGCCCACTGTGAGTTACTTGTTTGATTGTTTTTACACATAGATGGCTACACTTCTACTAAGTCACCAATGACGCTTGTTGGCGTCTACCAGAGTTCAAAACACCATAGCCACAGCAATCGTTTCACAAAATTACCAATATCTAATTATTAACCAAATATTTGCTATTACTACCATATATTTCATCAAACAAATTACAGATTACCTTTTAAGTGTATCTACAGGCAAGTCTAAATTACTGTGATGTTGCCATGAGGAGACAGTAAAATTAAGGAAAATAATGTAATAATAAGGAATTCAGACGTAAAACAGATGTATTTCAATACCTTTGAACAAATAAAAAATAAATAAATAAAAAAAAACAAGGTTATGACTAAAAAAACAACAACACATAAATCAATCAGAGCATCTGATACCAAATGCACTCTGGGTATCCTATGGAGAGACCAAAATAGAGCTGCAAAAACTGAGATAAGTCAAGATGGGATATGACACACTGCGATAAATCACTAGCTTTCAAGTAAGGGGATAAACACAGATTATAAGGAATTCTTGAAAAAGGTGCATGAATATACTGATAGAATGCAAGAACAATTTAAAAAGAATATAGCATAAACATGATATGGATGAACTTCAATATTCATACTAAATTTTTAGTGGATATGTGTAAATATATTCGTTTATATGCGAAATATTTATGTGTTTATACTGTATATGTATACACACATACATTTACATATTTCTTTGAATTTCCACTTTCTCCTAGAATTTTCTTCACTTGAACAAAATTACAAGCTTAATAAATGAAAGTGTATATATATTCTGTTTCGCAACAGGCACAGTAACCTTTGCTTTTAACGAACAGAACATCAAAATTTAAAAGTTTCCATCTATAGCAATTCCATAGCAATTTGACAATAAGAAAATGTAACTACTACAGTAAATGACTATACATATATATCATGACACTGTTGTAGATAAAGGGAAAAACTAAACTCACTGATACATGAAATGATCTGTGCAGGCAAAGAATAACATAAGAAATGAAGAAAATAACATAAGAAATAAGAAAATAACATTAGAAATAAGAAAATAACATTAGAAATAAGAAAATAACATCAGAAATAAGAAAATAACATAAGAAATAAGAAAATAACATAAGAAATGAAGAAAATAACATAAGAAATAAGAAAATAACATAAGAAATAAGAAAATAACATAAGAAATAAGAAAATAACATAAGAAATAAGAAAATAACATAAGAAATAAGAAAATAATATAAGAAATAAGAAAATAACATAAGAAATAAGAAAACATAAGAAATTAGAAAATAACATCAGAAATAAGGAAATAACATAAGAAATGAAGTAAATAACATAAGAAATAAGAAAATAACATAAGAAATAAGAAAATAACATAAGAAATTAAGAAAATAACATAAGAAATGAAGTAAATAACATAAGAAATAAGAAAATAATATAAGAAATAAGAAAATAACATAAGAAATAAGAAAATAACATAAGAAATAAGAAAATAACATAAGAAATAAGAAAATAACATAAGAAATTAGAAAATAACATCAGAAATAAGGAAATAACATAAATGAAGAAAATAACATAAGAAATAAGAAAATAACATCAGAAATGAAGAAAATAACATAAGAAATAAGAAAATAACATAAGAAATAAGAAAAGAATATAAGAAATGAAGAAAATAACATAAGAAATGAAGAAAATGATATAAGAAATAAGAAAATAACATAAGAAATGAAGAAAATAATATTAGAAATGAAGAAAATAACATAAGAAATAAGAAAATAACATAAGATATGAAGAAAATAACATAAGAAATGAAGAAAATTACATAAGAAATTAAGAAAATAACAACAAATGCCGTGTGGAGAGTAAGTCCACGGTGATCTGATGGGGTCCCTTAGGAAATACGGTGGTTTGTCTGGGGACGAAACACCGAGTTCTGAAGGAAATTGGTTAGGTTAGGTTAGGTTCTGAAGGAAATTGGTTAGGTTAGGTTCTGAAGGAAATTGGTTAGGTTAGGTTAGGTTCTGAAGGAAATTGGCTAGGTTAGGTTCTGAAGGAAATTGGCTAGGTTAGGTTAGGTTCTGAAGGAAATTGGTTAGGTTAGGTTCTGAAGGAAATTGGTTAGGTTAGGTTCTGAAGGAAATTGGTTAGGTTAGGTTAGGTTCTGAAGGAAATTGGTTAGGCTAGGTTCTGAAGGAAATTGATTGGGCTAGGTTAGGTTCTGAAGGAAATTGGTTAGGTTAGGTTAGGTTCTGAAGGAAATTGGTTAGGCTAGGTTCTGAAGGAAATTGGTTAGGCTAGGTTAGGTTCTGAAGGAAATTGGTTAGGTTAGGTTCTGAAGGAAATTGGTTAGGTTAGGTTAGGTTCTGAAGGAAATTAGTTAGGCTCTGAAGGAAATTGATTGGGCTAGGTTAGGTTCTGAAAGGAATTGGTTAGGTTAGGTTAGGTTCTGAAGGAAATTGGTTAGGCTAGGTTCTGAAGGAAATTGATTGGGCTAGGTTAGGTTCTGAAAGGAATTGGTTAGGTTAGGTTAGGTTCTGAAGGAAATTGGTTAGGCTCTGAAGGAAATTGATTGGGCTAGGTTAGGTTCTGAAAGAAATTGGTTAGGTTAGGTTCTGAAAGAAATTGGTTAGGTTAGGTTAGGTTCTGAAGGAAATTGGTTAGGTTAGGTTCTGAAGGAAATTGGTTAGGTTAGGTTCTGAAGGAAATTGGTTAGGTTAGGTTCTGAAGGAAATTGGTTAGGTTTGTTTCCAGTGGGTGCAGTCGTTGCATGAACAATTACCAATACTTTAACTCATTTTCCGAATGCGATGAAAAAAAAACATCAGATTCGAATATATGTTACAACATTGACTGAAACGAAAATGAACAATTGCAAAAAAAACAAAACAAGCAACAAAAAAAGCAACAACAAAATATTACAAAAACAAAACCAACAATAAATATTACCAAAATAACAAAAAGTTTGTTCAGATATTTGGATGCTCATGGACAGCTGAACATACTGGGTTGCAGTTACAACTGCATAGATTTCAGGACTAGTAACTCTGATGCAATGTTCAGTTTGCTATCCTAGCCTCCTTAGGATCCTGTAATGAGATTTGGCCAAAAATCTTTACCAAAAAGAAAGACCAAAACAGACTAGGACACTTTTACCGAGAGAGACGCCCTTGAGTTAACTATAAACGCTATGATTGACCCAAAACTCCCTATCAGACTAGACTACCAACTACAACACTGAACCATAAGTCAACCAACACCCTCCCAACCAATATAAATATCATCTTACTCTGACAGAAGCCAAAATTCCCGTGGAAAAAAATGAAGAAATGACGCACACACAAGCGGTTTGTTTACTCTCCGTTGCACTCCCGTGAACCCTGGCGGAGCATTCCCGTAGATTATTTTCCGGAAATTTACAGTGGTTTGTCATCCAAAGTTGCGATTGGAGGTGTTTTTTTTTTGTTGTTGTTTTTTTTCGATTGCGTTTTCTTGGTTTATTGTTATGAGACGACAGACTTGGGCTAAATTCCTAAAATCAGAGAAGTAATATACTCTCGCCTATGATAAAGAAATGCAGTTATTATTTACTCTATTTAACAAGTAAAGGGAATATAGAAATCATATATGATATTCATGTTCTAATAATTATCGTTTTTATTCAGCATAACACCATTATCTAAGCTCAGATTTAAAGTTCCGAGAGAAAATCCACAGGTTCCAGAGGCTTCCGAAATATCATCGACTGTCATTTGTTTTCCGGAGTGCAGACGAATTTTCGCTCTTCGGATCTAAACGAATTTGCGCTGTATTTATTTTTATTTCGTTCTTTATCAAGAGGCTATTTTCATTCATATCATATATTACCCTCTGAGTACTGAGCGTATATAATTATTTTTTTATAGAGCATGAAATTAATGCTGTAAAATCTTATTTCTCATCTGTATGGGCATCGATGTTCTTATCTAGT